GCAGAGCAGGAGCAGAGCAGAGCAGGAGCAGAGCAGATCAGGAGCAGAGCAGAGCAGATCAGGAGCAGAGCAGATCAGGAGCAGGCAGAGTGGTGGAGTGCCAGGGCCCAGCTGCAACCCTGAAAATGCCAAGTATCGGCACTGGTATCGGCACTGGTATCTGGACATCCCGAGTTTAATTCCAGTTATGCAATAAATTACGAATCCCAGCAAGCCACATTTTTTTTTTTACAGATAAAGTCCTTAAATTAAGTCAAGGTGACTGGACTCGCTGTGTTTTTCTTTATGACGTTTCACGGGTCATCCGACTAGCTTTCTCCATTCAGAATGTTGTAGTAAAAAAAAAAAAATTCTCTTTTTGTACAAGTCATTCTGACATCGAGAAAGCTGGTCGGATGTCCAGTGAAACGTCATAAAGAAAAATACAGCGAGTCCAGTCACCTTGACTTAATTTTTTTTACAGATATACCATGACACGGACAAATGAGAACCTCCACAGACATATTGAAGGACTTTTAGTTCCTCATTAGCTGGACCAGCCAGATTTAAAGCCCCACTTCAGCCTCAGTTTGTAGGGAAGGGTGACAACCTCTGTCAGTTTCTATTGTTGGATTCCCCTCACTTCACTCGGACCTTCAATATTCCCACCGCTCCCACACTTAAAAAACTGCATGCAAGATTGTGTTGTGGAAAAAAAAAAAAGTCCTTGGTTGTCACCTATTTCTCACCAAGGTAAAGAATGATGGAAGCTGCAATACCCGCAGACATCATATCCCAGAGGTCAATGGGCAACTCCCAGTTCTCGCTTCATTTGCTTCTTGATCTAGTGACAATAATATGGCAGCATGTAAACTATTCCCCGGCTTCAGTGCCGCCAATCCCACGCGGCCATCCAGCAGGGTAATCCTACTGTGTACACCAGGGGGAAGCCAAACTCCGGCCCTCCAGCTGCGGTGGAACTACAAATCCCACGAGGCGTCGCAAGATTCTCACAGCCACGACTCCCGCAGAGAGATGCATCATGGGATGTGTAGTTCCACCGCAGCTGGAGGGCCCGGAGTTTGGCTACCCCCTGGTGTACACATTGCCAAAGTATCGGGAATGTGTAAACGATATTATGCCGCAGCTAGAGCGCTGGGGGCGCAGGAGTGGACTTGGTGGAGTATCATCAATGGGGGGGAAACCTTAGAAAACAAGAAGCGGATGGATCACCAGATGCCCTTACATGAGGTTGGCAGTGTGGAAGAGATGAGGCAGTCGGAATAGTTGAACGGAAAGCAAGCTAACATCAGCCCCCGTGGAAGGCTATGTATTTTATCATTACAATGCCAACAACATATTTAAATGTACTACCGTGTTTCCCCGAAAATAAGACAGTGTCTTATA